GCATCTTGTATTGCCTTCCATAGGCGTGACGTAAATCGAGCATCTCGGTCCGATATGATCACTCGGCACCCCATGTAGTCTCACAATCTCATCAATGTAGATCTGTGCCAACCGCTCGATTAGATACTCCTAGCGTATAGGAAGAAAGTGAGCGGATTCGGTTAGTCGATCTACGACTACCTAAATAGTGTTCTTCTTCCTCGGTGTAAGTGGTAACCTGACCACAAAGTCCATGGCGATCGAATCCCACTTCCATTGCGGTATTTCCAACGGCTGTAATTTTTCTCCCGACATCTATCGCTCTGCTTTCACCTGTTGGCAAGTGAGACATCTGGCTACATAGTCGGCAACATCTCTCTTAATCTTTGGCCACGTGTACCATCGGCGTAGCCACTGTTACATCTTACTTGTCCCTGGATGTATCGCTAGTCTTATCTGATGTGCCTCAGCTAATATCTCTTGCCTCAACGCGGGGTCATCTGGCACACATAGCCAGTTTCCCAAACGCAGTGCTCCTTTCTCATCAATGCGGTAGCCCGTAGGACTATATTCCTCGATTCGATCTTGGTACCGTGATAGTAAGGGGTCACTAGGTTGTCCCATGATTACTCGTTCCACCAGTGTCAGAGTGGATTCCTCCCCTCCATCGTCAAATTCCCCAACATCGCAGTCAACTCTGCGGCATTGCTGCGAGATGAAGTCACTATATGGATAGCAGCCAAGATCCATTTCCGGCTGAGTGCATCTGCTACCACGTTAGCCTTACCAGGATGGTAGGCTATCTCTAGGCCATAGTCTGCAATCAACTCTAACCATCGTCGTTGTCTTAGGTTTAGATCCTTCTGGGATATCACGTAGGTCAAACTCTTGTGATTCGTGTTGAGCTTAGCTTCTCACCATACAGATACGACCTCCAAATCTTTAGTGCATGAACTACCGCTGCTAGTTCCATATCGTGCGTTGGATAGTTTTCCTCATGTTTCTTCAGTTGCCTCAATGCATATAGGTAATCACGTGTCCCTCCTGTATCAACACACAACCGAGTCCCTGCTTGGACGCATCGGTGTAAACTTCGTATAATACGCCCGGTCGTGGTAATTGTGACACCCGTAACCCGTGTACAGTATACGGGCTGTGCCACATGGACGATATAAAATAAAATAATAATAATGCGGAAGCAAAATCACGAAATCCAAAAACATTTTTAATAAACCAGAGTAAGCAGCGGAAAATACAACAAGCGATCAGTATCTCAAAATAACACATGTCCGAATAGTTATAATTTAACCGTACAAAATGCGGGAAATACAAGTCTCGTCACCCAAAATGTAAATCCCGTACATGATGCTGCCTCTCTCAGGTCGTCGTCTGCCGGATGCGCTAGGCGTAATCCTCGTGATCTGAAAAAAATGTAAACCACGAGGGCTAAGCACAACTGCTTAGTGAGTAGCCCGGGTTGAACCCGGAAATCCCGTTCCCAACGAGAACGGTACAGTCGACATTTCCATGAAAACACATGCAATAAGTAACACACAGTAGCACATCAATAGCAAACACAAACACGCCCATATGGAATCCACCATAAGGCTTAGCCATATACCCTGGTCAAATCCATGACCAGGAGCGAATCCACGCCCGTCACCCGCGTGACGTTGGCCATCGCATCACATGCGATCGTGCGCGTCTCCTGCGCCCGTCACTCTCGTGACTACCGATGTCGAGTCCACGACACAACGGAAATACAATCATATCCCTGTGGAGTCCACCACAGGGTCCAGCCATATACCCTAGTCAAATCCATGACTAGGGGCGAGTCCACGCCCGTCAAGTCCATGACGTTGGCCGTCGTGTCACACACGACAAAAATGCGTCTCAAACGCCCGTCAAGTCCATGACGTTTGATGGTTGAGTCCACAACCATCCACAAACACAATCACGCTTAACTCGTACGCACGAGCAAGCTACACACATGGCACACAACGTGCAATATCCCCATGATACAACCACGCGTATCAGGTATCCGGTCCCTACCGAGCTACCGTTTAACGCCATGCAAATTCTACCCGCATACAATCACACAACGATCACTCGTATTTCGATATCGCACATCTCACTATGCTACGCAACGTTCTGGCGGAACTCGGTTCGATTGATCCCAATCGCGAAGTCTTATCCTCTGGTGGGGGTTGGTTTGTCCACAGTCAAGTCTGGTCAGGCCCGGGCCAAGCCCGTCGGCCGTTTCCTTTTTCCCGGCGAACGGGAAAATTTCTCCGAGTTTCTCTGAGCCTGGTCCAGCGGACCAAATTCTGGTCAGCCGGACCAGTATTCCTTCTCCCCTGGTCCGCCTCGTCTTTTGGTCAGTCGATCCGAGAGAGAAACAAGCCTGGTCCGGCGGACCAGGATTGGTCAGCCCCGGACCAGTCTGAACATACTCATTTCTTGTCCAAATTGGGCGCCGTTTGTTTCTAAATGTTCATCGAAATGTCCTCTTATGATTCTAACTATCATCTTTCCCCTTTGGTCTGTTCCTTCTCGGTCAGCCAGTGTCCTTTACTCCGACACGTCTGGTCCGGCGGACCAGGACTGGTCATCCCCAGACCAGACGTGTTATTCTCTCGGTCCGCCGTGCTTTCCCTGTCTGGCTGACTGTGCGTGTATTGTTCCAGTCTCGGTCCGGAGCTGACCACGGTGTGGTCCGGCGGACCGAGACTGGAACTCTCTTCTTCCTCGCCATTTCCGAGTTTTCTCTCGAGTTTTCTCCTCTGTTTCGATTTAGGGTGGCTTCCAAATGCTTTTAAAACATAGTTTGACATCCCTAAACATGTTCTAAACCTCAAACACGCAATGAAATCTCGATTTGGACCATCACACATTGAAAATGAGATCTCACAAATCCAACTCAAGCCACTCACCTTGTTCTTGAGGTTGTCCGAGCTTGTGTGCGTCCTCTGCTTCTCCTCACACCATGAGCACCTTCAGGGCACGTCTAGGGACATCCCCCTTTGTTTCCCCGAGCTCCCCTTGCACTGGTTCGTCTCCTTCCTCCCCCTTTCTCCCTTTTTTCTTCTTCCTCTGTTTCTGTCCGAAAATGCCTAAGCCTCAGCTTTGGGAGATGTTTATGACGCGAGATAGGGAGTTCGTGGGCTCAAGCCCAAGCCCATAGGCGAGCCTGCAACGTCCTC